TAGCCAAATTTCATAATTAGCGTTGCATGGTCTTCGGCGGCTACTGTATACGGCGTAACTGGCTCGAGGATTGGGAGTCGGACTCAATGGCTACTCCCAAATGTGACTTCCGTAGAAATATTACGACTAGGGGATTCGAAATAACGCTTCCTCTAAAAACTTGCTACCCAGCGCAACGACCAGTTCGTGTGTGGCACGCGTAGACGGGCTGGTTATTTTTATCAGCCGTCGCGCCCGAGTCCGCCTCCGGTTGTCTTGACCCTGTCTTGCCATTGAGCCCGGGTGGGTGGGTGAAGGAGTGCGACAAATGTTACGTGAGACTGCCATCACTAATAAACTAATTCCCACAGGAGTTATCGTTCTGCGCGCACAGTGCTGTGGGGCACATGGTGGCGGCCCCCCCCTCTCTCTCTCTCTCTCTCTCGCAATTGGCGAATTTTCGTGTGTGTGCGAACCAGGGATTTTTATTTAGCGAGCTTAAAATCCCCGACCTCCCAATAAATCGACGTGTAAGATTCCGTCATAACCGCGATGGGCATTGACGCGTAGGGGAGGGATAGGTGTGATTTTGAGAGCACAACGGAGAAGGTCGCAGCGGGAGGGGGGAAAGGGGAAAAGATTGAGGGCAAACGGATGTTGACATAACAGCGCAGGCGTAGGCAAAAGGGTGATAAGCAGGCGAAAAATTGCCCACCACCTTGACCTCAAAGACATTACGGGAAAGCTGATGGAGCAGTCTAAGCAGGCAGTCCGAACTGCTAGTACTTGCAAACGACTTGAAGCGGGAGGGTGGGGAGAAAAAGCATGCGACAGAACGACACGGCGTCTGCGGACACAGGTAATATGCCCCAACCAGTTTGACTGACGCACCGATTGATTCTGCTGACGAAAAGCGGCACCTTGCTTGCAGTCATTCACTGCAAACTCCTTACAATCGTAGTGAGCATAATACTCACAGACTGAAAGAAAACACATTATTTAGTCAAGAAGACAGAAAATATTCAGTACAGACACGGAAGGGAGAATGAGGAGGGTGTTAGCAAAGGTCCACAGAAAGAGAGGGCTGTCCCCAGGGGCTGTTAATTTTAATGTACGACAGCTCACCTTCGCAGCGAACGGAGGGTGTATCACGAAGTCGGCTGCGACACACGTTGCAAAATTTTCGCCGAAAGAAAGCTAGTTCGGACCAACAGTGGGCAACCGGATCCTAAAAAGAGATGCGATAGGAAAAAAAGGTGTTGTGTATGCCCAAGATTTTAGGTTCAGGTAGAGCAAAGAATGTGATGCAGATTAATGAGGCACTCTCTCCGTAACACAAAATTCGGTCTTGGCGAGCATAGAAGCGGATTCGTTGGTGAGTATGAAAACTACGCATCTGAAGTGCTCAACTAGTTCCAACTTCCGTTGTCCTTAAAAAAAGGACT